CTTCCAGAGCTAAGCACAGACAGGGGAAGGAATGTGAGTTGGGCCTGGTAGGACCTTCTTGGCCCACAGGGAAGACATGTAGCTGGTCTGGGGGGGCTCACAAGGCTGAGTGCAGAATGGCTACCAGACCAAGGGGCTGGACTGCAATAGAGGAGGTGGCCAGAGAGTCCCTCTGTGGGAAGGAACTACTAGAGTGAAACAGGAACAAGGGGAACACCCCGTGCTCCCAAGGACAGCCCCAGAAATGGTACGAGGGGCGCTGTGGGCTGAGCTAGTGTGGGAAGCTGGGGGAACACCTTTCCAGAGGCCAGAGCCCTGCCTTCCTGCAACAACACTAGTTCCTGGTAACTCTTTATAATCAGACCTGGGGAAGAATAAGGTCCTCCCTGGCCTCCCCCAGCCAGATGCAGTCCCACAAGGAGGGGTAGGGAAGGCCCATGAGGTGGGGACAGGGAAGTAGGCAGGGTCTACTGGGTCTTCTTATCTTCTGGAGGGTAGTAGGGAGGTGGTGGAGGCTGGCTCGTGGGCATGTAGACATTTTGTGGGTTGCCTGGGTTGTAACAGGCGCTGGCAGCTGCTTCTGAGGCCTTGGCCTCAGCTGCAGGAGTGGAGGGGACATCAGGGCCACTGACTGGAGGCTTCATGGGTCCAGGATAGGGTGGTGGAGGGGGCTGCACATATCCCATAGCCCCATCCATTACAGGAGCTCCTTGGATAGAACTCAAGTGGGGGCCATGGATAGGGGTATCCAGGATGGCAGGGATACATTCCATTGGCGATTGGCAGGGGAAAGACATAGGCCCCGCTGGGCATGGAAGGGTACCCATAGGCTCCATTGGGGGCTTCACCTCTGGAAGCTTGAGATGCCACCTGGAGCATGCACTGACCAAACTCGATGGCGCCCTCTGCTGTGAAGGTCAACTTGTATGAAGCAGAGCCTTCCCAGCCACCTCCTGCTTCAGCCTTTACCATCCCCTTGATGTAGTTTGCACCAAACACGGGTTGTTTGATCTCACAGTCCTTCATGAGATAAAAATGGCATCATGAAGGACTGCATGACATCCTTCCCCTTGGACAGAGAGATGACCCAGTAAGGGGTAAGGTAGACAGTGCCCTTCTCAGTCCCTTTGAAGGCCTCTGGAACATTCTTCATGTCATTAAATGTAAGTTCCACATGATCATAGGACATTAGGATGCTCTCAGTGTTGTTGACGATTACTCTGCCACCCTCCGAATGGTTCTTGTTGAGCGCCAGAGTCTCTCCGAGAGGGGTCCCAAGACTCGCAACCACAATTACATTCCTTAGTATCTACCAAAACAACTTCTATCACAGGGAAGATATGTGTTCATATGTGTTCATGTAAGTGGCATACAGGAAATCCCTCACCTTCCAGTCAATTTTGTTATGGACCTAAAACTGCTCTATAAAGTCAAATCTGTATTCTTTTTTAAAGAAGGACATGTCATGTAGTAACTAGAAATAGAAAAAGAAGTATAAGTCCTTTCTGAAAAAAATGATAATACCTTATTGAAACACTAAAGCAAACATAAGTAAATGAAGAGACATACCATGTTCATTAATAAAAAACTTACAAATAGCTAGGCATGGTGGTGCATGCCTGTTACCCCAGCAGCTCAGGAGTCTGAGGCAGGAGAATTGTGAGTTCAAAGCCAGCCTTGGCAATTTAGTGAGGCCCTAAGCAACTCAGTGAGACCCTGTCTCTAACTAAAATACAAAAGAGGTCTGGGGATATGACTCAGTGATTATATGACCCTGAATTCAATCCCTGGCACCAAAACAAAACAAAACAGCAAAAAACCTTCAAATAAATTTAATGTGATCCCATTCAAAATTCCAACACATTTTTCATAGTCTTTATCAGTCAGGGCACAATGACAGAAGGAGAACCAATTACATTCCTTCACATATAAGAAATTTACTATATCTCTCCTTCCAGTCTTTTTGCTATGTTTTCATATGGTTTATTTCTATAAATATTATCCATACTACATTGTTATTATTTTTGTTTCAACAGTCTATTCTCTTTTTGAAAATATTAGATATGGAAAATCACAAACCTCAAAATAGTAAGGCCTGGGAAAAGGGAGTGAGAAAGAAGGTCATACATTGAGAGCATTGATCCTTTCCTAATACATCCTTTCCTGGTGGTAAAACAAACCCTGGGGAGGAGGTGTCCATTAAACCTAGTCTCTGGGAAGAGGCCAAAGCCTAATTCTTCCCTAAACAAACCCTTTCCAGATACCAACCACTGACCCCAGGCCCTCCATCTGGTCCAGTAAGATAAATCCCAGACACTGACTGCTGACCCTGGACTCCCTCCCCTTTCGCCCAGTAAAACAGACCCCAAATTCCTGAGTACCCAAGCTGACACACTCATTAATTAAGTTACCTCTCAGTATAACCAATATTAGCCCAGTCCCCTCCTTTGTTCAGTGGCTCATTTTCCACCAGGAAAGTGGGTCCGCCAGCATCACCCCATTCCTGCATGAAACTTCCTTTTGGCTGAGATGATCCTGAAGTTTGTGTCTGGCCCAGTCATTTTGTGCTAACAGAAAAGCCTATATTTACCTATGCAGTTATGATTCCTAGTGTTCAGCCCTTGCAGGTTTCTTTTGTATCATTTTTCTTCCACCTGAGAAATTAATGTATTATTATTATTATTTTTTTTTTGGTATGTTTCTATTGGTGGCTAATTCTTTCAACTTTTGTAGGTCTGAAAAGGTATTTTGCCTTCTTTTTAAAGACACTTTTGTTTACTTTTCTTTTTTTTTTTTTTAATGTCAATAAAGATGTTTCCTCCATTCTTCTTCCTCACTGTTTCTGAGAGAAATCTGCTGTCAGTCTCTGGATGCTTTTAAGATTTTTTTCATTGGTTTGGGGTAATTTATAGCTTGATGTTTTTCCCTTCCTGCTTCTTATGCTTGGGGTTTGTTAAGCTTCTTAGAACTGTGGGTTTATATTCTTCATCAAATTTAGAAAGATATTATCATTTCATTTCTTCAAATACTTTCCTGTCAGCTGGTTGTGGTGGCACATGCCTGTAATTCCAGTGGCTTGGGAGGCTGAGACAGAAGAATCACGAGTTCAAAGCCAGCCTCAGCAATGGAGGTGCTAAGCAACTCAATGAGACGCTGTCTCTAAGTACAATACATAATAGGGCTGGGGATATGGCTCAGTGGCAGAGTGCTCCTAAATTCAATCCCTGGTATTGCCCCCCCCAAAAAAAAACCAAAAATCTTTCCTGTACCCTTTCCTTCAGGGATTCCAATTAAGTATTTTTAACCCATTCAAGTTGTCCCACAGCTTAATATTCTGTTTATGTTTTAAAATTCATTTTTCCTCGGTATTACTCTTTGCATTGTTTCTATTGTGTCAAGTTTATTAATCTACATTTCTGCAATGTCTAATTTTGTCTAATGTGCATATTTTGCATCTCAAGTATCATAGTGTTCATCTTTAAGTTCTATATGGGTCCTTTCTCTGTCTTCCTTTCTCTAATTAACATGTTCAATCTTTCCTTTATCTTTCTGAACATATGGAATACAGTTATAACAACTAATGTTGTCTTAATTATTACATTATAGTCAATTCTCTGTGAATTCCTATTGATTTATCTCTTATAATTTGGGGTCATATATTCCTGCATATTGATCACCTAGTAGTTTTTGTTTGTTTATTTTGGTGCTAGGGATTGAAACAAGGGCCTTGTGCATGCTAAGTATGTACTCAATCACTAAGTTGCACCCTTGCCCTAGTACTTTTAAGATACCAGACGTTGTATTTTTTACTTTGTTGGTGGCTGGATATTTTTGTATTCTTTTAAATATCACTAGAATTGATTCTGGGCCACATAATATTGCTAGGAAATAGTTTGGCTCTTTTAAATCTATCTTAAGTTTCTTAGGTGAAACGAGCTCAGCATGTATTCTAGGGTTAATTATTCCTCATTTATGATGCATGACTGTCCTGAATACTCTACATAATTCCCCATGAATTACGAGGTTTTCTAAATTTGGCTTGGTGGTAGGTAGGGGTGGCAGTGGACAGGAACATCTTCTAGTCCTGTGTGAGCAACAATTGCTATTTCTTCTATTCCTCTTGGATGATTCTTTTACAGCCTAAGATAGTAAGGTGCTCATCAGTACTCTACTGAATATTTGAGGGGAACCTTTGGCAGATCTCTGAACTTCCTTCTCTGCTGCTCTCTCATTTCTCCAGAATTCTTTCCTGCAAACTGTAGTCATTCAAGTGTCCACAGTCATTCAGTCAATATCCTCAATCCAAGAAGTTCATCAGGTCCTACCTGGCTTTCCCCCTCCCTGTACCATGGCCTGGAAACTAAACGGTATACTGGCAGTCAGCAGGGGTAATCTGTGCTTGTTTCCCATACTTCAGGGAATACTATCTTTCATTCCCTAATATCTAACAATGACTTGAAAATTGTCACTCCATATATTTTGTTCAGTTTAAGTTGTCTCAGGCAGGAGGATGGCTCTGATCCCTGTTAGTTTAGAAGCCTGACGAATTGTTTTTATTATAATGTTATATAAATATCTGTAAATAGAAAAACAGTTATAAACTCCTTATGCTTATAGCTCTTATACAACTAAAAACCATTTAAAATTTTTATAAATTAATTATGATAAAATCCAAAACAAAAATACAATTCAAACTAATTACATTTAAGGTGAATAATGATGTGACTTGGTTTAATCTAGGCATAGTACTGCTTGCTTCAGTACAGGTTTGTTTTTGTTTGGCAGGCTTTTCACTGTTTGTGCTGTGATGATTCATTTCCCCCACTAATTCTCTACATTTGAATCACTGAAAAACATTCATCTGTACAATGCAACATGATGTCATTCAGCCTCCGCTTAGCTCGAATTCATCACTTACACATTAAGTCTATTCCTGTTTTCTTTGGTGCCTATGCAATTATATGTGTAACTCTGAATACTGAAATTGTGACAATCCTTGTCTATTAAAAAAAGGACACCTAGATGATCCTGAATATGTTTAACACTTATTTTTTTTAATAATCATAGATTAGAAAAATTTTAAAAATTCTTGTAGAAAACATGCTGTTTGATATAAACCATTCCAATACAAGGTAATAAACCTTTTCTCTAGTTGATAGCCATGTTGAGAAGGCTGGGCAGGAGAACTGCTGAGAGAGAATATCTACTTTATCCAAGAGCACTGACAATGGGAGAGAAACAGAGAATGAAGTTGTGATAAGCTGAAAACAAAAACAAAAACAAAAAACTACTTGCAAGAGAAAAGGAAGGGGGCTGGGGATGTGGCTCAAGCCGGTATTACGCTTGCCTGGCATGCGCAAGGCGCTGGTTTGATCCTCAGCACCACATACAAATAAAATAAAGATGTTGTGTCCGCCAAAAACTAAAAATAAATATTAAAAAAAGAGAAAAGGAAGGAAAAACTCAAGAAAATAGCCAAAAGATCTGCTCATAGTAGAAAAGTGATGACAGATCAACTACAAAGGAGATAAGTAGGAAAAGAGAGAGAAGCCCAAGAGGGAGAATACAAAGAATATGGTCTGATAGAAAAATTGAAAATAAGGAGATTGAAAAAAATAGATTATCTAGGATGTTTGTGGATAACACAAGAGTGACAGAACAGGGTTTCTTCAGGAAGGGAAGAGAGAAGTTACAACAGCCAAATTAATGAAAAATCAGTGCAGCTTTTACCAACAGCTAGGATGTAGTTCTGGATTACAAACATGTCTGTAATGGTTTAGATATGGTGTCTCCCCATTCCTCATGTGTAAGATAATGCAAGAAAGTTTAAATATGAAATGATTGGGTTATGAAAGCTTTACCCTAATTTAGCACATTAATTCACTCGTATATATTAACTGGGAGGTAACTGTAGGCAGGTGGGTTGTGACTACGTCCTGAGCTTCTTTCCTCTATCACACTCTTTCGCCATGACGTTCTGCTCTCCCTCAGGCCCAGTTATGGTGTCAGCCATCTATGGACTGAAAACTCCGCAACTGTGATCCAAAATAAAATTTTCTTTCTCTAATTGTTCTTGTTATGTATTTTGGTCACAGCAATGAAAAAGCTGATTAAAACATATTCTCGGGGAAGGTGTGTTTTTAGCCCTCACTGGACCAGCCTGCCTGGGAAAGTAAGTCACCTGGGTGCTCACCCAGTAAGAATTCAGCAATATAGCAACAAGAGCACGCAAGGCGCTCCCTTTCTGGAGTGGACTGCAGCTCAGTTTCAAGGTCTCCTTGTCTGTGGTACTCTGTAGCTACTTCTGTTTGTTTTGTTGTTGTTGTTGTTTTTTTTTTTTAATATTTTTTAGTTTTAGGTGGACACAATAACTTCATTTTTATATTTATGTAGTGCTGAGGATCAAACCCAGTGCCTCATGCATGCTAGGCAGCACTCTACCACTTAGCCACAACCCCAGCCCTACTACTGGTTTTTTGAATGCCCTCCTAGTATGACCTGTAACCTTCTCATGACTCTGTCATTGACAAACTTTATCCTACTGTGTCTTGAGAGCAGCACTTCCTTTTCCTTTTGTGCTTCATTTTTGACTTTTTCATTGACTTTAAAACCGAGTTGCCTACTCTCGGTTTCCCCCTTGACTCAATGATCCTGCCTACCAGAGTGAATGAAAGAGTCTTCCAGGGAAAAGAAAATTCTTCAGAATGGGGATGGGGGGGGGGCATCACTCAGAGTAACTATAATCCCAGGGGGAGACCCTTACAGAGATCTAAGAGCTAAATGGAATGCCAAGAAGAACAACTTTTTTAGTACTGTAAGCCCCTAAGCCTTTTTGGCAAGTGTGCAAAACATGGGGCTTCACTAAAGCCAACTAAATAATATGAAGTCCACTTGAGAAAAAAATCTCAGGTGTTTGTACCTCAGAATCCACACTATGCAATAAAGGTCAGTTGTCTACATAAACCTAAACAACGTATTGGAGTGGACAAGGTGAGTGCCAGAAAAGCCAATGAAAGTGGAGAAAGGCAGGAATCCAGGCTTCTGTGTTTTGAGAGGGAAATCTCTCCCTTTTATACTCTCATATTGATAGAGAATGGAGAAATCTGAGACACATCAGGAGTGAGATGAGATGCTATGCCCTATTTAGCTCAAAGGCTCCTCAGAAATTTAACGTCACTCTTTATATACCCTACTTTGAGACCATTAACTCCAGGGTCAGTGTCACAACTCCAGCTTCTCATCACTGGGCATTCCTTTTTCCATGAAAAAGTCCACTGAGGATGTTCACAGGACTTGTCTGATAAAGCTGCTCTTATCAGATCCAAAGTGTATGCTTTGTTCCAGAGATCTGTAGCAGTGCCAGCTAGAATCATTTTGCCTGAAGCTATTACTACCTTACCTGTCATTACTCAACTTAGGAATATGATTATGAAAACATTTTCTGCCTAAAGAAGATTTTGTTTTCTGCAAGTATCTGAATGTTTTTACTTGAATTACACTAGAATAGAATCCTCAAATAATATATGAAGAAGTCTGGAGCTAGAAAAGATATCAAATGTTCTAGTCTTGTTTTAAGAAAGAAATTAGGTCTAAAACAATTAAATATTCTAATTCAAGTCATAACAGCTAAAAAATATTATTCCCATGAAAAATCCAAGGCTCAGTTAATTTACCTAGACAACTAAAAAGCGGGGAAGCTTGTATTCATCTATTTGTTTCGGCAGGCTTTGGAGGCAGCTGTGATACGGTCCTGGAAGAGCAATCTGATACCAGCATCCATTATGTTGTGTGGCCTTTCTCATGCAGATAGAGAGCTGTTCTGCATACCTAGGTTGATAATGTGAGTGCAGTGACGTGCTACATTTTGAATCAATGTTAAGCAAAGGCAAAAAAGATTTTGGGTTGTCTTTCAACTTGTTTCTGGAATTGGATTCTATTCACAACAGAACAACAACTTGCACCTGTTTCTTCCCTAGTCTTACTTGAATTCTTCCTCAGTTTTTCCCAGCCTTCTTGGAGCCACCTGTAAATGCAGAGCAGTGTTATATGAACCACCTAAACCCAAGTTACTTGGGAGGGTCCTTTGGAAAACAGGTCCCACCCAGAATTTTCCATTCAGAATTTCCTGAGGGTGGAATGGACTGGAATTTTACTTTTTTTTTTTTTTGTATTGGGTATCAAACCCAACAAGGCGTTAGGTATACTTAGGTGTATTAGACAAATGCTTTACCACAGAGTTATATCCCCAAGCTGGGATTTTATATTTCCCCAAAGAAGTTTGAAAATTACTGATATTATAGAGAAATATCACTGGTAAGACTGCAATAATCTGTGCCTAAGTGGTTTGAAAATAACAGAACTGAAATCATGGTAAGAGCAACTTCTGAGCAATCTTAGTTAGGGAAAATTAACTTAGGAAGCGGGGGAAGGGAAAATACCTTTCCTTCAGGATTGTTTCAGCAGCTGCAGCAGACTGGCTTCTTTCAGTTCTGTCACTGACCCTGCCACACACCTTCGCTGTGCCCCCCTCAGCAGTTGAAATGTCAGCTCACTGTGCTTCCTCACCTGCTGTGCCAAGCCACTGGAATCTATGAGGTTGCACCTCCCCCTACCAGTCTGTGTACTAACTACAATGCTATAAGGTCAGATCACCAGCTGAAAAGTGTCCCTTGCTGAGAAATCTGATTGTAGTCCCAAAGTGCCCCTCCTTCAAACTGCTAGGTTCTGGTAATCACACTCTTACCTTTTATTTCCCCATTCCTAGGATGTTAACCACTTCTATAACTTATTAATCTCTGGTTACCTCAGTGTCTTCTCTTTGCTCTTTATTGTTAGCTTTCCAACAACTATTAGTTAGTTTTCTGAATAAGCTCAACTTTCTTTGCAATACCAAATGTGGTTCCTATTTTTCCTGACTAAACCCTGATTTAAGAACATATATCATACTGAAATATGTTTTGGGGGACCACTGAAATAGCACAAACTCAAAATAAGCCGCATGAAAGATTTGGTAAGATGGATCCATTTGGGTTGGAAATGGTTGCCTCAGGGTTTCTACCCCCAAATTCCAATTCCTCTTAAACTCTTATAGGCCAGTATATGCTTTACATATATTTGGCAAACAATGGCTTCAAATAACTGCATCTTGCATGGTGGTCCAGGAGGTTCTATCTCCTCCATGACAGCCTGCATAGTGCTGTACAGTGCTTGACCTTTACAGATATTAAATGAAGGGTTACCACTTTGTTGCCCAATTATGAACATAGGAGATTTGTGCTAGGGTCAGAACAGGGAAGAAAGAGGTGATACTACAACAGAAGAAAAAATGGAGTTATTTGACAATCCTTACTGGGTTGGACATCTGTCCTGACCTGCCCCGCCCATCTGATAACATCTAAAGATCATGTTACTCATTTCCCTACACTACTATTCTTTTTTATTTTTACTTTTTTGGTACTAGGGATTGAACCGAGGGACGCTTAACCACTGAGCCACATCCTCAGCCCTATTTATTTATTTTTTATCTTACTGTTTATTTTTTGAGACAGGGGAGCAAGAAAGCTGAGACCTGAGGCTTAAGAAGAGCCACCTCCTATCCTCCCTTAAATTAGGCTTAACATGTTCCAGGGAGGGAGAAAAAACTTCAAGACAGACACTGAGCAAACTTGCCCTGTCAGTTGCCTGAAGGATCACAGGTTTCAAAAATCCCCTCATTTAATAGCATCCTTTCACAAAGGGGCATAAGCAGGGAAAGGGAGGAACTGCTTGTCCTTACCTCCTCTGCTGTAGCAGCAGCAGGTGAGGTCTACCACAGAAGGCAGTCTCACCAATTAGATTAACAACTCTTCTTCCTCCTTCAGAGAACAAGAATGTGGAAAAAATACTGGAAACGTTCACTGTTTTCTCCAGGGTGGCACAAACCTTGTCATTGTGGAACCATCTAAACTCCAAATGTTGGCTCCAAGTGATTTTCCTTAAATGTTCCTTCTTAGTACTTAATGTAAAGAGAGAATATAAAATTCAAAAATAAGCCAGGTATGTGGTTCATGGCTATAATCCCAGCAACTCAGGAGGCTGAGGCAAAAGGATCATAAGTTCAAGGCCAGTCTAGGAAACTTAGTGAGAGACTGTTCCAAAATAAAAAAATAAAAAGGGTTGGGTATATAGCTCAGTGGTAGAGTGTTCCTGGGCTCATTCCCCAGCACAAAATACATAAGTATCATCCAAAATAGCAGCTACTAGCATATGTAACTATTTAAATTAATCAAAACCAAAATTAAACTTCCCCAGTTAGACTAGACATTTTTCAAGGTTCAAAAGCTATATGGCTAGTGGGTTCCTTATTGGACAGTTAAGATATAGTAATAGTAATTTCCATCACCACAGAAAATTTATTGGACAGTTAGATGTACTTACTATATGTAGAAAAGCTGGATATTAAATTAGTAGCTTTACTTTTAAAAAAAAATAATTGAATACAGTTGACTTCAAATATTTCTGGACATAAACCTCCAAAATTTAAAAATACTACTATCCTTATACATTTTTAAGTTGAAATAAAAATTTTCATCTTAAGTTTCAATATTTATAACAAAATATCTAATTTTAATTTTATATTTCCATTTAAAAATAAAATTATTCCACCACTCTAAAAGTTATCCACGGGGTATCTAAATACCATAGCTCTTTCTATCTACTTTCTGAAACTGAAAAAATACATTCCTCTTCTCCACTATTTATTTTAATATATTTTTATGCTTAATGGTTCACTTCATCATATTTCTCTAACATAAAAATATGTATTAATTTGCATTACATTTAAAATTTTTCATTGAACACAACTCTTAAAACTTTTAGTTTCTTCTGAAGAATATATTACTAAACAACTGAGCATAAAAATTCATTTGAAATATTATACATAAAAAAGTAAAATTTTACTGGAAATATGTCATAAGAGATTGATGCTTTTTTCCCAAAATAAAATCGTGTATCATGAATGATTATTGTTAATTGTTGGAATGAGATAAGGTTCATTGGAAAACAATATCAAAAAGGTTACTAAGTAAGGAAGAGTTCTTAAAAATATGTATTACTGATTACAGGCATTATTTGTAGAACATTAACAATATTATAGAAACTATAACATATTTCACATGGTAGGGATGAATAGAAAGCCAACTACTTAATTCACACTAAACAGTAAACTTTCAAAGTCAAAACAAAACAAAACAAAAAAAAAAGAAAAAGAGAAATTTAAGTATTCTATGAGCCTTTTGGCAAACTTAATGATTAAGTATTTCTACTCATCAGGAAAAAAGTTCTATTTAAAAACGCAATATTGATCTGTTAAAAGTAAACACTGCAGCTTTTTTCTTCCTTATTTAAAATCATACAAAATTTAAAAACAAGATGCAAGTTTGTATCTTTGAACAAGCTTTCAAAGACTAACATGTCCAATTGCTTATTTAGTGGCCTGGAGATTTTCTTAAGACTCTGTGGGAATGTACCAAAGCATGGTCAGATTGGGTAAAAAATAAACTTTTCTTTTGTAAAGAGAAGAATAGTTAAGAGAATAGTTAAAAAGGAGAACCTGGAAGCCCTACCTTGACTTCAGGCAACTCAAGAGGGAAATACATATTTAAGGAGAGAAACTTGGAAACCAGTTCTCTAAATTAAACTCATGGTATCAGCAAACTGAAACTTGTAGAAAGGCTTTGTGAAACTCCAAGTATGAACACCCCTGTTTGAAGGCCACTAGTTTAAAGAAAATTCTTAAAGACTGTCAAACATACTGTGTCAAATCAACAGAACTACTCATATTTGTAGGTCTAAAACAAACTTATTGAAATAGAATTTTAGATATAGAATAAAAATAGAAATCGGTTTGGGAAAATAGAAACTAAAGTCACTTAGGACTTAAAATTTTTCTTTGCAGTTGTCCCACCTTTGTTTTACCAAAGCTGAGACAAACCCAACCCCAGATTAATCATACACTCACCACTACACTGTTGAATTTAATCTCTCACTCCCAGATCCCCAATCTCTGCATTCTAGCCTATCTTTTCAACATTTTTAGCATATCCCATCAGAAGCAGTGAGGATCACATCAGCCTGAAGACCCCCAAATTTAACAGAGCCTAATAATATACCATAAGTATAGTTTTACTCCAAAAAAGTTTACTCTAAAAATATAAAGATACCTCTTATCTCAACTGTTAAAAAAGAGCAATTCATAAACTTACGAATTTGTGAAAATATCAATATCAAGTAATAGTATTGTTATCATCTTTAAAACAAACTGAATTATACTTTTCAAGGCCATAGCAGTCACTGACAAATGTAAGAATAACAACTGTGTGCATGGAATTTTTTTTTTTAATATTTTTCAATACAGATTAATTCAGGATGCCATGAATGTGTTATAATACCATCTTCTGGACTTACATCTTCAACTAAATTTGAATTATTCACCAGATAAGGTCCAAGACAGACCCAAGTTGTAATTAATTCCTTCCTCACTGTTCAGTGTATTAAACTGATACACCTAACTGGTTTCATTTGAGTCACAACCTCAACAGCCTACAGGGACCAGGAAATCATCTAAATGTGGAAACAGGCTGTGTATAAAATAATAGAGTGATGAAAGCACAGTCCATTCTAAAGCCACTCAATTATTTTTTAATATAAGCCAAACAAAAAACATCTTGGGCTGAAGTTGACCAAACCACTAGGGTTAAAATTTGCAACTCTAATTATTGGCTTTCAAAACATATTCATTAGGGGCTGAGGATGTGGCTCAAGCGGTAGCGCGCTCGCCTGGCATGCGTGCGGCCTGGGTTGGATCCTCAGCATCACATACAAAACAAAGATGTTGTGTCCGCCGATAACTAAAAAATAAATATTAAATTTCTCTCTCTCTCTCTCTCTCCCCCCTCACTCTCTCGCTCTCTCTTAAAAAAAAAAAAAAAAAATTCATTAGATTGAAATTCAACATTTACCAAGTGACCACTAGATAGAAGGATATATAATTGGGATGAGACAATGCCTCTTAAATAAATATTATTATTGATACAGCAGTTCACTTATATATAAAATTGTCTCATTATACTTTACATATGATTTCAGCAAAGAGATTAAAACAACACAACAGTCCCCCCATAACCATGGGGGACAAGTTCAAAGACTCCTCCCAGTAAATGCCTGAAACTGCAGATTGTACAAAACCCTATATTTACATGTTTTTTTTTCCTTCTATACAAACATACCTATGATAAAGCTTAATTTATAAATTAGGCACAGTAAGAGATTAGCAACAATAACTAATAATAAATCAGAGCAATTAAAACAATAGATGATGCACTGCCTAATGACATTTTGACCAATTAGGGACAGCATATATTACAGTGGTCCCTTAAGATCATTACAGATCTGAACCATCATAAAGTTCTTATCACCATATCCATAACATTCTAGTGCAATGCATTATTCATATATTTGTGGTGATGCTGGTGGTAACCTACTGTGCTGTCAGATGTAAAAAAGTATAGCACAATTATGTACTGCATGTAATCCTTGATAATAGAGCTGTGGATTGTAATTCTGTGGTACAGCACTTGCTTAGCATGTGTAAGGCCCTGGCGTAAATCCTTGGCACTGTATTAAGAAGGAAAAAAAATGATAATACTTATACCATATTTTACATTAGTCTCCTTCTAGTTATAAAATAAAGTTTATTGTAAAAACAGTATACTGTGTTAATAGCAGCTTCATACATTTGTATTTACCATGTCTCTTTATTGCATCAAGAGGCTGCATCAAATGATTAACCTATACTATGTGTGTTTGTGTAAGTACAATCTATGACATTTGCACAATGAAACTGCCTACCAATACATTTCCCAGAATGTTTCCCTGTTATTAAGCAATACTTGATTGTATTTTCAAATAAAAGTTATGTGATTGTGGTTTCTCTCTTACTATAGTGTATATACTCTTACAATGGTGTAAGATGATATGTAAAGGGAGAACTTTACAGCTTTTCTTTGGCATATCTAAATGGGCAGAATCCCTACTCTTGTACCTTGGGTCCATTATCCTGTAAAATAAGGTTTACATGAACAAAAGCATTCCAATATTATGATAGCTGATCTGATAACCAAGACAGTTACTAAGCAATTAAGAGGCAGGTGGTGTATATAATATAAATACAGAGACAAATAATTCACATCTCAATCAGAACAGCAAAAGGTATGAGATTTCATCATGCTACTCAGAATGAAGTGCCATTTAAAATTGGTGAAATATTTATGTCTGGAATCTTCCATATAATATTTTTGGACCAGGGCTAACTCTAGGGCAATTGAAATCTCAGAAAGTGAAACTGGATTAGGAGACTACTGGGAACACAAATTACTGATCAAAGCTATATCTCTGACTTAATTATATACAGAAAAACATTTACTTCAGGTATAAAGAATATTTTAATAATTTAATGTTGAAATTGACTATCATACATATCCATCAATTTTTACATTTTATTGCCCATATCTCAGGAGATATTTAAAGTAAGATTAATTTGATGAAGCATTCTCAGTAAATCTAGAACATATTTCATATCCAAATTTAGTCAGGCCCTTTAATAACATTCGCTGTTTTGTAGTATACATAAAATAAGTTAGTGCGATACATCACTGAGGTATCATTTAAGAGGTAAATACCCTATAGATTTGGATTTCTCATCCCAATTCCTTGGCATTCAATAATATAAGTGTCTTTAGAGGAATCTTCTTCATCTTCTGATTTCTTCACAGTAAATTTAGCCTGAAACCAGAATATTTAGTATATAAATAATATGAAAAGAATAATGAGACCATAATTCTAGCATAAATACGCAGACATCACACCCATTTCTCAAAGCTACAGAGACAAAAATGAAACAATTCATGACAAATTCAATAGCCTAGAGAAAACATATTTTGTTCTAAAACGATGGTTCCTGCTCAGAGGTATACATTCTTGTAGAACTGTCAGAATATGGATGGTAGGTCTCCACTTCATACTTAATGGACCCAAACTCCCAGAAGAGAACCCTAGGCAAATACCAATTTTGGAATCTCAACTGTTGGTTATAATGCATCTTCTCTGTTCCCTAAAAATTTGTCTAAAATGCAGAACTCAAACATTTAACTTTTTATCCTGTCAAGTATGAAATTATCATTTAATATCACTAAATTTTTCTTGCCAATTTAATTCCCTAAATACATTACTCAGAAAGATCTAGTTCAGAGAAGGAAAGGAGTAAGGTGGGATGGTGGTGGTGACTAATACTTTCTTCTATCTTATTAGGCTTAACATTGTACTTTTCACTTGTTAACTACAGTTGATCTCTGTCACTGTATTCTGGAAACATGATCATTTTAAAAGCAAATGTGATTCAGTTTAACAAAACTGATTTAAAATAAAAACTGAGTACAGATTTAGTTTTACACTGACAGTGTACTAACACACAGTGGACACTTGAAATTCCTGGGAATGAATGTTGAATACTGAGCTAGATAACCAAAATTTTTATATAGTTTTGTGGGTTTTTTTTTTTTTTTTAATGCCTATGTGTTTGTGTATTTGTCTGTATTTTTCAAATTATCTACAGAATGCAGGCATTTTTCAAATTATCTACATAATAAAAACATGAAATGCAAGTTAATAGTTATGGAAATCATTTCTAGTCCACGTTTAAACCTATATAAGAAGCCTTAAGAGACTATCCAGCTCAAGTCCCAATTTTTTTTTTTTTTTTTTTTTTTTTTTTTGGTACCAAGGATTGAACCCAGGGGAGCTTAACAATTGAGTGACATCCCCAGCCATTTTTATTTTTTATTTTGAGACAGGATCTCACTAAGTTGCTTGGGGCCTCATTAGGTTGCTGAGGCTGTCCTTGAACTTGTGATCCTCCTGTCTCAGTCTCCTGAGCCACTGGGAGATTACAGAAATGCAACACCACACTCAACTCAAGTTTTTTGTTTTTTTTTTTTTTGGTAGCAGGATTGAACCCAGGGGCACTCAACTACTGAGTCACATCCCCAGCCCTATTTTGTATTTTATTTAGAGACAGGGTCTCACTGAGTTGCTTAGCACTTCACCATTGCTGAGGCTGGCTTTGAACTTGCGATTCTCCTGTCTCAGACTCCCAAATTGCTGGGATTACAAGAGTGTTCCACCGCACCTGGCCTTCAACTCTCAGATTTTACAGATGAACTATCTCCACTAAGACACAAAAAAATAAAGAAACTTTCATAGGGGCTGGGATTGTGGCTCAGCGGTAGAGCACTTGCCTAGCATGGGTGGGGCGCTGGGTTCAATCCTCAGCACCACATAAAAATAAAATAAAGGTATTTTGTCCAACTACAACTAAAACAAAATATTTTTTTTAAAAAAAGAAAGAAATCTTCATGCCACTCAGTTAAAAACATAATACAATAAAACAAGAAGTGAGAGCTATAAATTTTCTGTTCAAAGCACTTCCCTTTATGTATTCACTTAAAATAACGTGTCTACTGTATGCAAAGTACTATAAAAAGAGAAGACTATAATAATTAAAACTACTACTAATCTGTAAGAGAAGATAAGTAATCATTATAAATATAGTATATGTAGAAGGCTGGGGTTATGGCTTAGGGGTAGAGTGCTCGTCTAGCACATTAGAGGCCCTGGGTTAAATCTTCAGCACCACATAAAAATAAATAAATAAAGGTATTGAGTCCAGTTAAAAACCAAATTAAAAAAAGTATACATAAAATTTAAAAAGAGTTAACTCTTTTCATCAGAAAAAATCTTGCCTTTAATTCTCTTAGACCTTACCTAAAATTTAATCAAAACCTATCTAATCTTTATAATAACAAAAAAGAGTGTATGTTATTAAGAATTATATAAAAAGAAAGAGTAGAGAAGCAGTGGCTTTTACTTGGTATATATAATACTTAATTTCTTATTTTTACTAGTGTGCATTATTTTTATTTAAAAAAAAAATAAGGTCAGCACCTTCATAAAATTGAGCCATAAATTTTATATCACTTCATAAAATTATACTATACCTTGAGTCCAGCCTGGTCAACTAAGCAAGACCCTGTCTCAAAACAAAAAATAAAAAGGGCTGGCAATGCATCTTAGTCCTTGGTTCAGTACCCGTACTGTACCAAAAAAAAAAAAAGAGAGAGAGAGAGAATATACTAAGAGAAATATGCTACACGTTACTGAGAAGAACAAGAAATGAAATGGTGTCTATTAATTACAAACATCAGAGGAAACAACTTAAGTTAGGGGGAAAATACCTATATGTCAACAGTGGGTCTATTGGTAAGGTAGAATTAAAGCCCATTTTTTTCCCCTCTATTTTGCAAACTTTCTATTTATTATTATTATCTTACCTATGAGTAAAGTGAGTGAATATAGATCACACCAAGGGAGTGAATATAGATCAAGAGGCTCTTCAAAATTTAGAAGTTGAGAAGAAGAAAATGATAACAAACTAGCAAAAGAAACCAGAACATGAACCCAAAGGTATCAACCCCTGAGCCATATCCCTAGTACTTTTTTTTTTTTTTGGTTCTGGGGATTGAACTCAAGGACACTCAACCACTGAGCCACATCCCCAGCCCTATTTTTATTTTATTTAGAGACAAGGTCTCAATGAGCTGCTTAGTGCCTCACTTTTGCTGAGGCTGTCTTTGAATTCCTGATCCTACTGCCTCAGCCTCCCGAGCTGCTGGGATTACAGGTGTGCGCCACTGCACCTGGCTCATCCCCAGTCCTTTTAAAATTTTTTTATTTTGAGATAGGTCTTACTAAGTTGCCCAGGCCTTGCTAAGTTGCTGAGGCTGGCTTAAACCCCTCTAACTTTAAGAAGATTGATCAATGTTAGAATATCAGTAAATATTTTAACAACCAAATGAGATAAATAAATAAGTAAATAAATAAAACATTTAAAATTTCATATGAATATTTAACTTCACAGCCAACTATGAATTCTTTAGAATTTTAGGGCTTGCAATATGAGGTCTGGATTTGCTCAAAGCCCAGCTCTGCACTAAGAAAGTAAATGGCCTTGAAGAATTTATTCTCTGCCTCACTTTACTCATAGGTAAGATAATAATAATAAATAGCTACCTATCTGGTTATGCAGAATAAGATCCTTCAGTGAGCCAGGCACAGTGGTGCATTCCTGTAATCCCAGCAGAGGCTGAGGCAGGAGGATTGAGAGTTCAAAGCCAGCCTCAGCAACTTATCGAGCCCTTAACTCAGCAAGACCCTGTCTCTAAACAAAAATATAAAAAAGGGCCAAGGGTGTAGTGCAATGTTTAGGCGTCCCTAGGTTCAATACCTAGTACCCCCAAAATAAATAAATAAAATAAAGATGCTTCATATAAACTGCTGAGTTGGCTAAATGCCACAGAGGAAACACTCAGTGAGTAGTAGCAATTACAATTACCATTGGGCTTTATGTTTATTAAACCATGACCCTATTACTCTAATGCAATACTCGCCTTTGCTAGTTGTTCAGCAAAATGTATAGCAGTTTGTGTATGGAGTGTAACCGGTCCTGTTTTTATTCTGGAAACTCCATTGGCTAATGCCATGAAAATAATCAGCTATTGAAAAAAAAGAAGAAAAGTATCACACATTTACCAATGTTCAGAATTATAATTCTGCTATTCACAATGAAAATACTACTAGAAATCAGATGGCTAAAAAAGAATTACTATTTCTTTAGATTTCTAGAAGTCCTTAGAAGATGATGGAAAACTGTTACTAAAAGTCTGTAATGTAGTATAAAAATGCTTAACAGCGAATAAGCAAATAAAATAAACTAAAATACAATAAGCAAATAAAATAAAGGCAAGCTGTCCATCTACAACTACAAAAATAAAGAAATAAAAATGCTTAGCAGCAATTTGCTGTACAGAATTTTTAAAATTAATGTCGAAGAATAAAATATGGAGAAGTTGATACATTTAATTAGATCAATTATCTCATCAAACTAACATATAAAATATGACAAATTTCCTCTACTCTTATAATAATTTTATTTTTTGAGGTTTGAATCCAGGGGTACTCTATCACTGAGTTACAGTCCCCACTCTTTTAATTTTTATTTTAAGGCAAGGACTTGCTAAGTTACTTAGCTCACCTAGACTAGCAATCCTCCTGTCTCAGCCTCCCAAGTCATGAGGATTACAGGTGTGTGCCACCATGCCCCACTTTTAACATTTTTTTAAACACAGGTAAATAAATAAACTATTACAGAATTACTGGGAATACAACAGAATAGACCAGAACAAGAAGTAAGTATACATGGAAAACTGTCATAAAAAAAATGATCAAGAAATCTTGAGGAATATTTTTCTTCCTATTCCAGTGTATATGGTAGTAGGGATCAAACACAGGGCATGGTAGGTAAGTGCTCTACTACTGAGCTATACTCCCAGCCTGAGGAATAAATATCTAAATGTAGACACTGATCTAAGCATTGTTCATTTGGTAGAAAGGAAATATATAAAGACAGTGAACTACAAAAAAGGTATTATTTGGACCTTCTCAATGAGAGTAAAGTATATAATAAACCCAAGTGGAGATACTGATGTAAGTATAGTAGATCTAACAAATAAGGAATTAAGAATAGTGTTCTGGGCAGTGATATAAATCTGGGAGTCGTCTGCAAATAGATGAGCCATGAGACTGGACAAAATAACCAAGGGAGTGAATATAGATCAAGAGGCTCTTCAAAATTTAGAAGCTGAGAAGAAGAAAATGATAACAAACTAGCAAAAGAAACCAGAACATAGAACCAGTGAGGTGGAAAAAAATACATTATTTCAGTCCAAGTAAAGAAATTATTTTAAGAAAGAAGCTAATGTGTCAAACTTTGTAGACAACAGGATGAGGACTGAAATGTTAGGAATATAAACTCCAGAATAAATAATATTTTAAAGTAATAAAATAGGACTTGCTAATGAGTATGTAATAGTCAATGATCAAAAATTTTATTTGATTCAATTAGCAGATGTTCAAATCTAATAGGATAAAGGTTTTCAAGCTAAAAGTGTCATTACCTGGTCTTGCAGAAACTCATCCACAGTTCCACCATGTCTAAGATTAGCTAACAGCATTTCAGCAGCATCAATTCCAACCTTGTCTGCATTTACACCTAAGACAAGCATAATGCAAAAGAAAACTAGATCAATTACTGAGAGGCAAAAAGTTGAACTGATATCAGCTAGTAGTGGTATAACATTTTTAGACCTTTGAACTCATTCAAGTACCTTTTGGACAAGATCTTTAGTTATTTAATTACTTGAAGAGATTGACATATACAAATGCCTTCTACCTTTGAATGAGTTAGAGGAGGAAAAAAGAGGCAGCTTTGGGCCTATTTTAAAAGTATTAGTTATAAAGTCAGTCTATAACTAAGTTTTGATCTTATAATGGTATACCTCTTTGTAAAATTTAAAACTTGGTATTTATATAAGTTATAATTAGTCTACAGACGATTCTATCAGAACTAAAGGATTTTAGAAAGCCAGGGAATTAAGTTTCAGCTAAAAAAAAGCAGGTAACATTCTTAGGTCAACTACTTTAAAGTTTTAGTCCCTTTAAGATCTGAATAGAAACCACTTTGGAAAGCAGTTTGGAGATTTCTGAAAAAACTAGGGATGGAACCACCATATGACCCAGCTATCCTACTGCTTTTTCCCAAAAGCTCTGAAATCAGCAGATAACAGCACATCCACATCAATGTTTACAGCAGCACAATTCACAATAGCTAAATAATGGAATCACCCAGATGCCTATCAATATGAATTAATTAATAATTATAATTATGAATTAATTAAGAAATTGTGGTATATAGGGTGGGGTTGTGGCTCAGCAGTAGAGCGCTAGTACATGTGAAGTGCTCAGTTCAATCCTCAGCACCACATAAAAATAAATAAAAGGTATAAAAAAAAAGGAAAGAAATTGTGGTGTACACACACACACACAATGGAGTTCTACTCAGTCATTGAAAAGAAGGAAATTATGTCATTTGCCAGTAAATGGGCAGAAATGAAGAATATCATGCTAAATGAAATTAGCCAAACTTAGAAACTCAAAAGTCAAATGTTTTCTTTTATATGTGGAAGCTCAAGTAAAATAAGGAAAAAGGGGAAAGAAGGATAAGATTTACATAAAGAACCAATCAAATACAAATTAACAGACAAGTGAAAGGAAGTCTAGTAGACTAGAGGAAGTGGGGGAGATAGAAGGGGAAAGGAGGGGATTATGACCTCAAATTGATTTCTGTGCATGTAAGAGTTTGTTAGGATGAACCAACTACTATTTACAATTTATAATTTACAATTATAAAGCTTCAATGAAATAAAATTGAAAGAGCTTGCTTCCATGATCTTAAAAAAAAGATCCAAATAGGTTTCAGCTTATTATGAATATGTCAGAATATTTACCCCTTCCTCTACTTCTGACCTCTCTGAACACACCTTAAATCTTTTGTATAACACTGAATACAAAGTAAATCTGTCAGAAGTAGTAGAATGTCAAATTACCCTTTTAAGGCTATTAAAAAAAAAAAAAAAAAAAAAAAACTAAGCCATTTAATTGTGTCTTTGAAGGTAAACAATACATGAAGATGGACCCCAAACCCTGAGAATGCCAGAGCTGCAGGTCCAAAATGATGTGGTGTGGTTCTTCAGAGTTTAGAAGTGTCATAACTCAAGGTTTAAAAGCCAGAGAATCTACAGGATCCACACATTCTGTTTAGCAATTTTGCCAATTATCAGAAAGAGATCCCCCAAGAATCTCTCAAGAAGGGGAAAATTCAATTCCTGTTTATAAAGAATAAAGAATACCAAAAATGTTATGTTGTTGTCTCTTCACTTTCTCACACAATCTGAAGCCTGAGCTATCATAATCCCCAATATATAGCAGCTGAGGCTGCAGTCAAGATTATCTACTTTAAATGAAATCCATGGCTACAAATGAAAATGTCTCTTAAAAAATGAGAATGTGGAATTTGGAGCCCGACCCCACAGTATGTAGATCGTAGCCAACTTTTTCTTCTATCAGATGCTGTGTCTCTGATTTGATAGCAAGCTCCTTGATCCATTTTGAGTTAACTTTTGTGCATGGTGAGAGAAAGGGAGAGAAGGGAAATTGCATGGAAATGGAAGGAGACCCTCAGGGTTATACAAAATTACATACAAGAGGAAGTGAGGGGAAAGGGAAAAATAATACAAGGGGGAGAAATGAATGACAGTAGAGGGGGTAGAGAGAGAAGAGGGGAGGGGAGGGGAGGGGAGGAGGGATAGTAGAGGATAGGAAAGGCAGCAGAATACAGCAGACACTAGTATGGCAATATGTAAATCAATGGATGTGTAACTGATGTGATTCTGCAATCTGTATACGGGGTAAAAAATGGGAGTTCATAACCCACTTGAATCAAAGTGTGAAATATGATATATCAAGAACTATGTAATGTTTTGAACAACCAACAATAAAAATTAAAAAAAAATGAGAATGTGGCTAATTTTATTTCTATTTTATATTTGCAAATTTATGTGATTACATGTATCTTGGTAAAATTTCCCAGAAAAGTGGAAATTTCATAATTTTAACTCAGTTTTTCCTTATAGCAGTTATAATAATAACATAGTAAAGACTATTTTTTTTATATATCATCAATTGGCCAAGTATTTATATAAATATATGGAATGATTTCAATTCTGGTATGAATCTTCACTTTTTTCTTTGCTGCTGGGATTGAGGTGATGAACTCAGGGCCTTGTATATGTTAAGTATGTGCTGTACCACTGAGCCACATCCTCAGTTTCTTGACTTACAGAGTATGCTACTAGCCCCTTCCTTTTCCTCTTTTAAAAAGTGAAGATGATTAACAACTATATTATAAAGTTATAGAAATCAGAAATAATATTTATAAAGTACTTATTACCAAGACCAGTATATAATAGGGTATTAATAATAATGGTAGGGGCTGGGGATGTGGCTCAAGCGGTAGCGTGCTAGCCTGGCATGCGCGGGGTGCTGGGTTCGTTCCTCAGCACCACATAAAAGTAAAATAAAGATGTTGTGTCCACCAAAAACTAAAAAATAAATAATAATAATAGTAGTAGTAGTAGTATTAAGGACCAAATGCTACCTGTTCTTTTCCTAAGGGAACATTAACAAAGAAGAAAAATAAAAAAAAAATAAAAAGTATTTATATATTAAAGGATAGTTAAGTGCTAAGTTCTATAAACTTTTGGGTATAAACTGTATATCCAAAAGGAGTTTCAGAGAAGAAAAAGATTACAGGTTCTAGAATATTTGAGAAGACAAGACCTAAGCTAATCCTTGAAAGATGCCTAAAACTGGGATGGAAGATAGAAAGAAGTTCTGGCTTTATAATTTACATGTTGAACATTCTTAACCCCAAAAATCTGAAATCCAAAATGCTCAAAAATTAAAAACTTTTTGAGCACTGACATACCAAAGAAGAAAAGTCACACCATGAAGCTATTTTATGCACAAAATTATTATAAATATTGTATAAAATTACCTTTAAGTTATATGTAGATGATATATATATAAAACATAAATGAATTTTGTTATTTGGTTTTGGGTTCCATCCCCAAGAAATCACACTATGTACACACAAATACTGAAAAAATTCAAAATCCAAGTGTATCAGATATATTCAACCTGGACCAGAGAGAACACACACTGAAGTTTTCCGTCAAGTGGCAAAATATTTCTCAGAGCTATTCATATTCATTCCTACCCAGCCGCCTTGATAGTAAATAATAGTATGCATGGATCTACATTATTACCAGTCATTACTAACAGCTTGTGACAACTGAACATATGAAGAAAATAGAATTTTGCTTGGTAGTATTATGCTGTCCCAAAAAAGAACAAAATCTTAATTTCTTCTGAAACTTTAATGCTTTTCTACCTAATTGACAAATAGTCTTTTCATATTTTGCATGTTTCTTTAAAAAAAAAAAGGTTTCAACTTTAATGGTTTAAAACACAGGAAATTAAAATGCATATTCAACAATTTGGGTGTCTTCTAGCTTATTAAAAGGACAAAACTTTAAAAAATGGTCATCAGACTGAGCAGAGAAGTCCAAAGGACTTACTTCAGGACACTAGAAAGATTCCCTGAATGACCTACCATATACTGAATGAGGAAAGAAAAGTGCTTTCTATAAGTAAATTTCTGTACAGATGAAATGCAGATTGTTTTGCTCCCATAGTAAAAACATAACTAACTGAGAGACAATAGTAATCAAATAAGGTTGGGAATGTAGCTCACTAGAAGAGTGCTTGCCTAGCACTTATTAGGCCTTGGATTCAACCACCAGTACTACCAAAACAAACAAAACAAAACCCAAAATAAAAACCCCAAACCAAAAAGTAATCAAGCAACACACAAATTCAACAATATTCATTTCTTTTTCTTTTTTCGGTGCTGGGAATTGAACCCATGGCCTTGCTTGTGCTCTTCCACTGAGCTACACCTCCAGACCTTCAGTCTTACATTATGTTCACAATCCAATCAAGTAAAGTTGGAATGGATCCTTATATGCAGATCATGGTCCAATACCATTTTTCAGATAAGGAAAGCCCAGGGTCATTATACAGAATAATATGTCTAAAATTTAGGATTTTAGGGATTTTCCAGGCTAATTCTCTTATGTAACAGATAAGAAAACAAAGATAAAAATTTTTGTTTTAGTAACTAAGACAATTACAAAAGCATGACTAGCTACACCTTCCTGCCTCTACCACATATTCTGGCATTGACAACCAGCTGAAGTTGCTTCTGGTAATAACACTTAGACATTAGGATTCAGGGTCCAGTAATTTTCTAGTTAATTTAAATCAGAAATAAAAGGGGATCTGGATAATGGTAGTTATGACATTATCTCTGAGATCCTTAATATAAAGAGAACCTAGATTAAAAGAGGGAAGACCCCAAGTTGCCCTTGCATTCACATTAACTGAGGTACCTGACACAAGGGAGGACAATCAGTCAATGTCAGCAAGTCTGTTGTTCTCGTCTCTATCTTCTTCAAACACGGTAAGTATAAAAATCAGTACTGAACACTTTGCAAGTGTGATATCCAAAGACAACTTCAAAGTAAATATTAT